GGATTAGGTCAAGGCCAGTAATAATCACCGAAATCATGTTCTAACAAAGGTCAATTTTTGGTCAATCCTATGATGGTTATAATGAGAATAGACTAGCCTTTTTACAGTACATTTAAAAAATAATTTAAATGGGAATATTTGAAACAAAGGGTGGGGGAGCAGCTTGTAACATTGTGAATATTCATGATTTAAGCAATCTTTATTGTACTTGTAGGTTCACTAATCCCCATTTGATAACTCGCCACTGAAATTTAAAACCGAAAACAGCTGATGAATAAAACTTAAAAAGCCGAACATGTCCATATGGATCACTGTATATTTCTAAATCAGTACGATATAGACAGGTATGATATGTCTTGGGTTGAAGGAAATGGATAACAGATTAATTATGCATGTATGGTTTCGCTTTCTTATAGTCTCAATGCCACAAACATGTTTTCATGTTTTGGCGATTTAGGTCTACCGATCATTTGTTGAATAGTGCCCCAGAGTGAATGTATTGTTTTGTGTCCTTTATTCTATTTGTAGAACCATAAAGCATTGATTATGTTTTAGGTCCATGTGAATAAAAATTGATGAATCCAGCAAGAGCAGTAAAATTTGAATAAAGTGTTCCTTATGAAAAATGTATTGTTTGCTCTAAGGTCCATAACATGCAAACTTGACAGGCATGCATAGCTATGGACTGACCTATTATGCTTGAAATAATTAGCAAGCTTGGTGTATTTTTCCCCTTTTTTCCCGCATAATGGTGCCAGGTTGAACATTAGGCTTGACATCTTTGTGAACAGGCAAGCTCGTTTGGGCTGTCAGTATTCCATGCACAAAGCTGCTGGACAAAGAGTTGAATTTTCTTTGCTACGAGCAACCTTTTGTGGTTTGACCATTTCTGCACATTTACAGGGTTCAATATTTAATTCAAATTTCTCTACTTTTTGTTTGCTCAGAACTAATTATAGGCCTACGTATATATGTCCACAGTTGTAGAACCCTTTAAAATGTCAAAGGGAATAATAACACTGGAATCTGCCAATGTTACTGGTATTTTTTCAATTTTTATGGGCCTCTAATTATTTCTAAGGGCACAAAACATAATGTTAATCTTTTGTTTCATAATTGTATTGAGTGTGTAGTAGATGTTGAGAGATTGGGGATGGTTGAGAGAAAACCTACTATTTAAAAAAAAATGTTTTGAAAATCCCTTTGGTTAGGTTCTAAATTTCAAGGTGTTGACTTGTTCTTTGATGTTGAACTAGTGAAGGTTAGCCATATTTTTTTCTGCAATTGGTAGTTCTTACTGAAATCTCACCGCAATTTTGATTTTGATAATCAGAACATGTAAACAAGTTGCGATCAAAGAAAGCAACTGCATATTATTGAATTGATAGGTGTCCACATTGTTCCTTTGTCCTCCAATAATGAGATTAATTGCCGCTTACATACCTCATGATATTCACAGATTTGAAGTCGGGCTACGAAGCATACATAGCATAGCTTGAATAGTTCAACTTATGCACTTAGTGCAATGGTCATTATGGCATTTTAATCATTAACTACATGTAATTGTATGGCATAATGAAAGTAATTGATGTTTTGCTTGCCAATTACGGTGTGATGAAGAAATAAAATGAACCGCGACTGACTGAAAACGAAACTTGCGAGGAGAAAAGGGTGAAACTTTTGTGGTGTTAGTAGAAAGTGCTTTAGAATTGCATCCATGGTGAGCTTTTCATTGATGTTCATTGATTTCATGGTGAGCTGCAAGAAAGACTGGGCATGGGTTAGCCAGTTAATATTGTGCCCCAAGGCGATGGTACCCCTGCCTCGCAGAGTAGGGTGTCATTCCCCATTTATACGGCCCTTCAAACTAATTTATTCAGCGAAAGGAGAGTTGAAAGGAATAATTTTGAAGTTGGTCTCCATCACAGACCTGAAATAATCCCCCATTGTAGTTCAGAGCCCCCCGCTCCCCCCCCCCCCCCAAAAAAAAATATGATAACAAAATAAAATTCCAACAAGTGTATCTTTACTCCGTTTCAACTAAAATTTGAATCTTACAATTAAAATATAATAATTACGAATTTCTACTGCACAGTAAATCTTTGGTTTATTCGTTTAAGGAGATTGAGTCAACGTTACAAATACCATGAAGATTTGACTGCAAACCAATGTTCTCTTGGATGTGGGAAATTTTTTGTCTTTCTTTTGTGAGATATGAAGGAATCAGAAACGGTGAATCAGAAGAAAATGCTAACAATATAACTGATATCTGGAAGTGCTTATTTCATTTGTTTGACTTAAATTTTTGTTTTATGATGATATATGCTGGTCTAACAATTTTCGTATTAAATTCATTATGAAAGAATCATTCTGTATTTTGCTGATAATTCTTAACCTATCATTGCCCAATATAAACTCATTTATTTATAATCTGTGCAGCCTATACACTTGTAGTACATCCTTGGCTGGACAAAGGATTTGAATTGTGCCTTTGTAAACACTTTGCTTGGGCATTGTGAACTTTTGTGAGAGTAGAAGTTTATGTCAAGTCTTTACACACAGTTATTTGGTGTTGATTTGATTACAATTGGCATTTATTTGACTATCACATTCAGAGCATTGCCTCAATTTTTTTTGTGAAGGACCTTTCAAGGCTGGTGTTGCAGACTACACTGCTTTGAGCTGAGGTCAAATTAGGCCTACTACGGTGACCTCATCAGGTGGGTCACGCTGAAAATGATTCTTACCCGCCAAAAAAGAAAGAGCCGGGCATCCCAAGCTTGCTTGCTTGCTTGTGTGTGAGGTCTTTTATTACAAGAGCTCCAGACTCAGTGGACTGCATGCTGGCAGTCGAGCTAACGGTAGGCAGTCAGGTCTGTGATGTGTGTATAATAAGAGGAGAGGGTGATCTTGGAATCATCTCATTCTCGGTGCAGGGATTGGCCTTGGCAAGGTGGTGATTACAAAGCTGTTTTTCCTACGTAGGATGTCGTCGAGAGCGGCTTGTGCTTGCGCATGCATTTGTGCATGGGTAGCCGGTTGGCTCGCAATCGCACATATGGACAACGTTGTGAGACTATGTCTGGGAGTTGGTGGTGGGATTCCGACTTTCGATATGGGGTTGTGCGCCGGTGACATTTTAGAGAGAGGGGATGGATTGCGTCTAGCTTCGTTTGAATTTCAACTAGATTGGAGGAGACGGAGAATCCGGGTATCGTGTAAGACAAGATGGCGGGCGTCTTGCTGGAGCCGACATGTGCCTGTGGCTATACACAGGAATACGCATCACAGCGTAGTGGTTCAGCGCCGCAGCTAACATGCATTACCTCCACGAGAACAGCAGACCAAGCTGCTCCCCACTCGCCCTCTCTCTCTCTCACCATCTTTTACGGCATCGCAAATCTCCCACTCCATATTCATGACCATGCCTGTGCCTGTGGAAGGCTGTGGGACCACATGTTATCGGGGTGATGATAAGTGCGCCAAGTCTCCACATGGCCCGCTCGTTTCCTGTTGGCCAGCGAGCTAGGGAGCCCCCATGCATCCACCTTCTCATGTTTTCAGGGGCGTGTTTGGTATGTATGCCATATGTACTACTTTATTCATGTTTCCCCTTCTCTTCTGAATTTTTCTGACTGTAATTTTTAGAAGTACCAAGGAGAATGATTTTATCATCAGGATTGTGTTAATGTTAATTGTGCATTGTAAGTAGAACTCTTAAAAAAGAATGAGCACAGTCAACTTATGTCAAATTACTGTTTCTATTTCTGGCAAAACTCTGGCAAAAGTCATTTGCAAAACTTTAATTTACCCCCATCGATAACTTTCAGGTCATGGTGCGTTAAAACTCCAAAAAGTATTCCCCCAAAACCATAGATTGATCTCCAGATTTTGAATTGGGATATTTTTGGCATTTAGATGGGAAGTGGGTAGATCAGCATGATGGAGATATCACCTGTTAGTGCCCACTGAGTTGCCATTGTGCCTATTCAGCAAGTTGACGCCTACACACATTTTCTACCCTCGTATTATCTCTTGAAGAGAAACCATATGGTGAGTGGCATGTTTCATGTGGAATATTTTAGACCACTATCAGCTGGTAAGCTTTATTACAAATTAATTCACTTTCTTCTTTCAAATATTTGTGTTCTGTAAGAATGATTCCATTGCTCCGTGCATATGTAGGCCTGGTTACAATTCAATTATCGTGTAGGGATTGTGTTTCATCATTGAAGTTCTCTGATTTAACAACTGAAATGGTCTAAATGGGATGCCTAACAAATACAGATGTGTGCACTTTGACTTTTGATGATTAAAAGTATCAGGTGTCTAGACTAAATGGATTTACAAACTTTCCTCCTTGTATATTTTTCATCACAGAATAAGCGTGCTCTTGTTTGCTATTTTTCAGCTGAGATTGTTTTCTGCTCTATTTCTCACTCCAGGATTTTGTATGTATTCCCCATTTGGGGTAATTAGAACCAAAGAGATATCTCCTTGTTAGAACCCATTTCTAAAGCTCTAATTGCTGCATGCTCCTTGACTATTCTATATGAAATTAGCAGGATTAAGGAAAGGCTGGTTTATTTGTCTGGGGTATTAAAAATGCTGATTTATATGGGTTGGTGAAGCTATTCAGGCATGGAGGATTTCCTCCGTAATTGGTCTCTGGTTTCTTCCAAGATTAATCCCAGATATACATCAAGCTGTGCAAGCAATGCTGCTTGGGCCACCTTGGCTCTGCTGCCCCTGCTCTGCAGCCCCACAGATGACATGTGTGCTCATCCATGCATGGATTATAGCCAGTTGTTCCTAACTTCTTTTGTCTCTCCTTGCACATGGGACCTCGGCTCTGAACAGACTGGACTTGCTTTTAATATCAAAATCATGGTGTTATCCACAGAAAAGGGGGGGGGGGTATTGTGTGTAAAGTGTGTGTGCCTTTCTGGCGGGATATTTCATAATAGGACAAAGCCCATGAAGATACGGGGTTTAGGGTTTGGAGGAAAGAAAAGAGCTGGTAGTGCAGTTCATGCCTGGACGAACAAAGGGTCCTTTGATGCAGGAGGGAAACACCTGCTCGCAGCTCAGGAATGAGGAGGCAAGACTAGTCAGTCACTGGGCTGCCATTCCTCATGGGAGAAGGTAGTGTGATTGGAGGAATGCATGCTCTCAAGTTTGGGGTAAACTTTATTACCGGTGGTGCCACATGGAGAGGCTGGAGGATGAATGTGCTAAAGCATGTGGAGATTGTAGGAAGGGGGACTGGTGTGGTTGTACTGAGAAGGGGTAATACGTGGCTTGTTGCTCACCCAGGATGGTGGTAAGTTGATGTCAGTGTTTTATTGGTGGCTGTCAATCTGATCTCAACTGCATTGTTACTCGATTGGTATTTCATTGTCATTTGCCGTATTAAACGTGGTGCCATTCCAATTCCAGTGGAAGCGTGCACATGTCATTCTTTTCCATTGTGCACCAACTTTTTCTATCATTCCGTTATTAAGATTGCATCAAGTGACATACAGATGGATTTAGTTAATCAATCCACAAACTTATGACCATCACACCTTTGCCTCTATATCGCTCTTTCTTTTCATCTCCTTTCTGTCTCATCTCTTACTCTATGTCTCTGTCTTTCTCTTCCGTATTTATGGTATGTACATGTATGTCATAGATTTGTAAGATAGTTTGTCTTTTGTTACTTTACTTTGTAAACTCCATGCAATTTGCGATGTGGTGGTTTTTAAATCGATACCAGTTCAATCGCTCTGACCTCCCTACAAATGCCTGTACATAAATTGTTAACCATGCTGATGGCAATGGATTATCACTAGTAGAGAATGCACAATAGCGATTAGGATGAATGAAGATTGTCATGTAACAAAGGAATTGGAAGTGGGTATCATTCACAAGCTCTGTTTGTATTGCCTTGTTTGTACTGCGCACATGTGTGCTGATCTAAGTTAAACATTATAAAGCTCGTAAATCTGTATTCCCTTTATTAGTACTGGACCTCACCTACTGTAAATTACAGTCTTTTCTTCTGATATGAGTTCTGGCACATGTTACAAGCCCTCGGTACACATGTGTATATATTATCTTGCTTAGTTATATTGCAAAGGCATGAGAAGGAATGTTAGAGTGTTAATTGATAGTATTATGTTGAAATATTGCCTTCTTTGTCAAAATTACACTTCAACAATACTGCTAATTTGCGTTTGGTAGTATTTCCTGTGTAGGAAGTTGGCAGTGTTTTTTTTTTTTTTTTGGCGAGAGGGGAAACATCCTTTGTCATTCAGTATTATATGAATATGTCATAGTAGTGGTGTGAATTAAAATGCAGCTACACAAATTTCTAGCCATTTTCTTTTTCTGCTGGAGAAGTAAAATGGCTCATTGAAAACTCCCCATTTATTTGCATTGGAGGTCATATAAAATACTATGAGCAAAGCCTAGATGGACCAAGCAAGAAGATCCTTAATAATTCTCTGTGAAAAGAGAAAAGCTCAGAATGGCTTACCAATTTCTTAATCTGGACAGAGTGTATCACATGGCAAGTTCAATATTTGACCAGATGCTTAAATCCAAGAGTATGGAATCCCCTTCAGAGCGGACAACCTTCCGTATCCTGCTATCTAGTGAGTCACTCAAACAAAGGAGATGCTCTCTTTCCATCTCTTTCTATTTGGCTATTTGTTCAGAAATCCTCAAGACGATTACTCAGGTAATGCGAAGATGGGTCCATATCATGGCCGAGGTTGCCTGCTTGCCCTGCATAGTGCACTGATTAAAAGGACAGTCGAGATAGATGTTAGTAAGATCAAGAGCAGATTTGATTTGCAGATGACAGAGTAAATGTCAAATCTTGACTTGGAAAACCAATAATGCGCTCTCCATACCCAGCACATGATTTAGGAGTGGGACATTTCTACTACATGTACAAGTGAATAGCCGGCATCAGTGTTTGTCTGTCTTATAAGTCTATTTACATATTTTGTAAGTGATGCAAATTGAAACATTTTTTCATTGTCATGATTGTGGCTGTACTCTCTCCAGTTTAGGACCTGAGAATACATGCAGGAGCCATAGAATACTTAGATCATCATTTATAGGCTACAGTGTAAAATTTGAACTAGAACTTTCCATTTGCAGAGATGCCATCAATCGCTGGCTAGGGTCGCATTCTTCTGCCCTTGTTCCCACGGTTAGGGATGTAAGGGTCAACTAGGGGTCACATCCAAAAGTGGAACTTTCTAACCTTGCCTTCCTTCAAGATCGATTAAATTTTATTTCAATTTATGTTCTGCTGCTACTGCTTTCAACATGTTATGTTGCATTTTAATGTTGACGCATTGTCCTTTTATAATGGGTCTAACGTTAGCAGTGGGTCCTTTTCTATTCTTTTATTTCATGGATGGGAGATAGTTGTAGTTCGAGAGTCAAAGAGATAACTCATTTTATTTTTCTCTCCCCCATTTATAGTCTCTCACACTCCATACACACTCCTGTAATGACAGTGATACATGCATACAGAAACTCGATCTCTCAAATATCATCTTTTTATGAGCAACCACAGTTTATTTTCTTACCCTCCTCTCCGGAGGCCTGTCTCGTTGTTTTGTTTTCTCTCATCTTTGGATCGTCGACTACTCTTCCCAGCGCAGGGCCCTTTGTCTTACTCTGCATGAGACAATGAGGAGCCATCGGGGTTAATGTACCATGGGCTGTCTCGAGATTAGTATTGTTGAGGATGAATATAAATCAAGCTGTACAGGCAAATCATCGTAAGAGTTTTAATCTTTAAATTTCTATTCTTCATTTCTGTGAGAGAGCTTATTTTGATAGCTTTGAAGGAAAATTTGTTACTCGTCAATTTATATTGCTTCCTGTACGTGATGTATCACAAAAGAAAGAAAAGCTGTTAATACATCGATTGGATATTCATCATAATATACAGTTAAAGGAGAATTTCATTGTATGAATGATGTATGAGTCTGTCATTATGAAGTAGACCTTCTTTGGATTGGATATTCATCATAATATATAGTTAAAGGAGAATTTCATTGTATGAATGATGTATGAGTATGTCATTATGAAGTAGGCCTTCTGCATTGTGTACTATTTTTTAATGAATCAAATGAAACAAACCAATTAAAAAACTGCATGTATGTAGAGCAGAGCTTAAAAGGTTATATATTTTTCTTTTAATGAGAAACAACCAAGTTAAACCAGTACATTATTGTCTATTTAAAATGCAATTTAATAGTTAGTCTATAGCTTTAACAGGTAGGGGGGGGGGGGTCCTTCCTTGTTCCCATCACCTCATTCTCCAATTTTGATTGCATGGTCACCTCTCATGCTTCCCATCTTTTGACTGAGCTTCACACAAACTCTGCGGAACCTTGTCAGAATTTAATCAAGAAGTGGTAACACAGATGCACCTGTGCTTATCAACCGTCTCTAATTATACCCCCATGCTGATGAGGTACTCCGCAAACTCCTAATGAAATGGGAAGTGGACCGGTGGGACCGATGCTGATTCTTCACACATTGTGGTGTCAGAAGGCCTGTCATCATCGGCTCGAGATTGCCAAATAGACCGCTATTTTCAGACTTGGGATATTATCCTGAAGCTCTGACAGACTTCACCAGACCGATACGCTCATCACAAACTAGCTTGGATGGGCGCAAATTAGCCCGCTATTTCCCAAATAGTGGGATATTTGGGTAACGAGACCAAGATTTCTTGGGATATTTTTTCAACCAAATATCCCGCTAATTGCAACTGCGGTCTGATGAAGAATTTGTGATCGGGATAGTTAAAATAACGGGATATTTGGCAATCTGGAGCTGATGACGACAGGCCTATTGTGGTGTCGGAATGGTTCACCATTCCCCCACAGCATAGGGGAATGTCTTATGGCATGCGCTCTGCTGTATGATGTTGACCCAGCTGATTTATGATATTGCCATTCATAATGAACGAATCAACATAGCTGATGTTATGGTCCTAAATACAAAATTACTGTTATCAAAGACTCTTTCGTTCCTAGAATAGAGAATCAAAGCTGTTTACATTGATGATTTAATATGTACCAACCATAAATTGGAAAGACCAGCGTGACTTGTTGGCCTAACTACTTGCTAACTGGCATCCCCCCTCTTTTTTTAAAGACAGAGCAAGATTTTGTCAATACACCAATATATTTTACCATGCTTGGTTGTGGTATTGCTCTATGCAATTAGTGGAATAAAGGAAGAATCTACAAGATGTATCTACCAGATAACATGCAAAATTGCAAAAGGCTACTTGGTTTAAATGTACTCATGTTGGGTGAAAAATGATGGAAGGAGAATTGCCAATGTATGAAATAGTCTGTTCAGTGCTTGTTGATTGACTAGCGCCTTGGGTACGTCTGTCAAGTAATTGTCGAGTGACGAGTGCCTTCGGTTCAGTTGAATCCAGGGTAGACTCATTACTGATGTGCCATTGTTCATTACACTAGTGCTAGGTATGGCTTCTTCTTTTTTACCGGTTTGTCAATGCCATTTGCAATAAATGAATGGCACTTCCTACGTATGACTCAGATCTGTGGAGACGAACTCTCATGCATTATCATTTCAATTCATTTCAATACATAAGTGAATAAAGTAGAACTTTTCTCTCTTTTGAAAGAACCATGTTGGTCGGCATTCTATCATAATCCCCACTCCCACAAAAGAAAAAAAAAAACTTTGGTATAGCAGGGCCCTGTCTTACAAAGAGTTACGATTGAACCAAATCAATCGCAAGTCTTCCAATCAATTACAAGTTTGCAGTCTCCTATCTTTTATGTACATACTTGCGGTTGATATCGATCACATTAGGCGTGTCTGCACTATCTCGAGATTGCCAAATATCCAGCTATTTGAATTATCCCGATCGCAAACTATCCAGCTTATTTGCGTCTTCATTAGACCGAAGTAGCAAATTAGCTGGATAGTTGGTCGGGATAATATCCCAAGATATCTCGGTCTAGTTTGCGGTTTTCCGTGTTTACTCGAGGTCAGTGGTTGCGAGGTCAGCGCTGAGCGGTATAGATCGCATGTGCGAACCGGAAATCGTTGTGCATGATGGGATCGGGATAATTGACTCCGTACTTCGGTCTAATGAAGACGGTCGCAAACTATCCCGCTAGTTCGGAAATAGAAGGATATTTTGCAAACTAGACCGAGATATCTTGGGATATTATCCCGACCAACTATCCAGCTAATTTGCCACTTCGGTCTAATGAAGACGCAAATAGCTGGATAGTTTCGATCGGGATAGTTCAAAATAGCTGGATATTTGGCAATCTCGAGATAGTGCAGACACGCCTAATTACATTGCGATTGATATTAACTCTTTGTAAGACGGAGCCATAACTCTACATTTATTTTTTTTTTTTTTTTGATTGGCAGAAATATTAAAAGTCTGAATGATGTGTACCTTTAAACCCCAATTAAGAACACCAAGTTTTGATCTTGTATTATCATGCTCAGTTTGTCCGACATGTGTATTGATCGTTTCTCTTCTTATTCTATCTTCTTACAGTGGAAGGGGAAGACGGAGAAATTGGGATGGTCAGCTCTGCGATCGACAGCCCATCACCAGAGGAGTCCCTCACCCCATTGGCCAGACTCAAGAAAGACATCAACAGCGACAATGTCTTCAATAGGTATGTATGACCATATGGATATGAAATGTTCAGCATAAGAATGTCCATGCATATTGTAGGGCTCCACATTCACCTTCAAGAATAGTTTTTGGGCTGGATTGAGATTGTTAGGGTCTGTTTTGGGCCCAGACCTACATTTTGAGTACCCATTTGTCCTGGGCACCTGTTACTGTTAGTGTTGAGTTGTCATAAAGGATTATGTTCTACTTTGCCACCTCAAATATAATTATCTTTGCTATTTGCACCATGTGGCATTTTCCCTATTTTTGGGTAAGGATTGTTGAAAATCATGAAACTTACTTGATATTTTGTTGTATCCTACTCTTTTTAGTTATAGTCAAATGTATATTTGACAGTGACGCCAAATAGCAGTGGTCAACAGTAAATGTATAAAGTGCTAGCAAAATTTTCTTTCAATAAGGCTTACATTTTTTAATTTGAACTATCCTTTCTCGGGTTACTTGTAGAAAGAAGATGTAGATTTTGGGCTTATGTACAAGTCAACTCCTTTCCTTTTTTCTAAGAGAAAGTTGTTTGTCGAAGGATCTTACATCCATTGGCATGATTGTGTTCTTAGCCTCTTCAGAGTTGATTAGTACCCCACTTTCCCTCCCTTTCCATGCCCTTTCTCTAACCTCATTTGCCGCTCCGTTCATTTCCCATGCGTTTCACTGCCATCTGCGTCCCCAGCAGTAGGCCGATTATTATTGGACCCCTTGTGCAAGGCTCTTGTCACAAGCCATTATAATATGCCCCACCAGAAAACAAGCCAGGATGAAGAATATGCTTGAAAATGCATATTTGTTGCTCTCTCTCGCTCTCTTGATCTATTCCAATCAGCCAGTGTTTGAGGATCTAGAACTATCGTTTTCGTTCTCTCTCTGTCACCCTTTTCCCTAGATCTTCATTCATCTTTCTCTCTCTCTCTCTCTCTCTCTCTCTCTCTCTCTCTCTATCTCTCCCTTTCTCTCTTCCTCTCTCTCTCTCTCTATATCTCTCTCTCTCTATATCTCTCTCTCTATCTCTCTCTCTCTCTCTCTATTTATACTATCCTCCCCTCTTCATCATTTTCTTCTATCACTCTCTCTCTCTCTTCCCTCTGTTTCCCCCTTTTACTTCCTCTTCTCTTATCCTCTATCTCACTCTCCCCATCTTTTTTTTCTTAAATCCTTTATCCTTTAACCTTTAACTTGTGCACACCGGTATTCAAGGCAAAGATTCGCCACTTGCATCCTGCATCTTTTATTCCTTCTTTTCTTCATCCTACTTGTTTTGACAATCTGAAGGTCACCCTCATCTTCATAACCATTCCTGTCTAGATGTCATAGTCTGGATCCAGGCTTCTCTGCATGTTTTTAATGTACAAACATACACGATTTTAAATGTACTTGAGTTCATATAATGTTGATTCCCAAAATGTGTACGTGTATGTGTATGGAGGTTTGGGGGATTCGGGATTGAATGAATATTTTCAAATGCACAAAATTGGGTTTACATTTTTGTTTGCATTGAATCATTGGGCAAGTGCCTTTGCTGATCGTAGACCCACCTACTTATAATGATGTCTTTTCTGGAGACCAACCAGTCTTTGAATAGCGAACCCTGAATAGAAACTAAAACTAGGTCCCATTTCTGCACTACAAACTTCAATTCTTCTATTGTTGGGCTTTCTATTCCAGTACAAGAATGCAATTGAAAGGCGATTTCAACAGTTCCTTTCACATGCTGCTTGTAATCTAATCACTCACTCTCCTCCCGTCTTGAGATGGCTGGTTTTTGATGGTGGAATGAATTGAATGCATTTACCAGCTGCTCACCTCAGCCAGGTCATGACCTTAGAAAGGGGGTCATGTGAGTCCTTCAGATTTTCCTTCTTTTCAAGACTTTGCTGGGGTTTACTGTGTAGTCTCCCTCTACAGACCCAATTTTGAAAAGAAAATGAAGAAAATGACTGTCAATTTCACTTACTCAAATCCCTTAAACTACCCACTCTTGTTCATTGTATGGAAATCGTGATTTAAAAAAAATAAAAAATTGTCTATGAAAGTGCAATACAAAGTGCATTGCCGGACAGGACAATCCATATGGAAGGAAGCATAGGATTATCTTTGTATTCAAATGACTTTAGGTCTACAATTACAAAGATTCTACAATTACATGGAGGTCCGTCCATATGGTTATGGATCTTACACGGTTAGATGCAAGGAAGTATTTCCCTCCATTTTGCCAAACTGGACCTCACCAGTCACCATCTAAACCAATCTTTCACTTGCCTTTTCCATGCTTTTGAGGTTGAGCCCTCTAGTTAGGATTATCCTTTGAGTGTGCTGGCTGTTATTGCGGAGGTCATAGGTCAACCTTCCTCAAGTATGCAGTTGCTTACATTTCAATGTTAAAGGGAGGATAGTCTGGTAGGCATGGTCATAGGATATCCTGGGAATCTATATGCCCTTTTCAGTATAGACTATAATAGACCACTTTTCAATATGCCGGTTTATTAACATATTCAAATTTAAAGCATACTTTATTAATAAAAGTTGTTCTTGACAACCTGGCCTGTCATAGCAACAAGTAATATATGCAGTCTGGATTTTGAGTATGGTAGTTCATTTAATGGAATATCTCCACACTTGGTTTTCCAAATTATTTTACTAGATGTAATAAGGCTTAGTTTCCTTTGAGGAAAGTATGAAATATGAAGTAAAATATGGAACACCTACATATTTTATGACATAAATGTGATAAGATCAGTGTATAACATATTCATATGTATTCCTGTACACTCCTTTTTCTTTTTGTTCAGCTAACACACACAATGTGAAGGTTATAGCTACTGAAGGCATGAAATATCCCCATTAATATGGTCTTGAGTTGACTGAAGCCAAGTGCTAGACAAATACATTACACATTAATCTACATATACCAATTCATCGCTCAATACCCCCCCCCCCCCTCCCTCTTCCTATCTGAGAATAGTATGTCAATATTTGCTCTCAAAACTTGAAGCTCCGCGAGGGCTTCATCATTTCTCACTTTAATTTCCTCAAGTACAATTGATGCTGTGTACCGTAATTGGATTTGATACTTGAATATACCAATCAAAACTTGTATGATTTATTGACAGGCACTTAAAAGGGTGAAAAAAGGGTGAGATATTGAATGAGCAATTCTCCCCTCATGCATTCTAATGTACATATTGTTATTTCTTTTTTTCCAGTATTCATTAATTTACCGGTACTAAGTATGTCCAAGTCGTACTTTCTGTCAATTTACTTTTGAGTGTTGGTATTAGCTAGTTTTAGTTCAGGCACTTAAAAGGGTGAAAAAAGGGTGAGATATTGAATGAGCAATTCACCTCTCATGTGTTCTAATCCACATGTATTTCCTTTTATTCCATTAATCATAATGTACTTAGCATGTCCAATATGTATTTTCTAGCAATTTCCTTTGAGTTCCTATTTGAGAGTTAAGATTATAAGAATTAATTTCCCTGCGTCAGCTTTTCTTTTCTTTTGCCAGCCTATATGACATACTTATAACCTAATTATATTTCAATTCGCAATATTTCATGCATGAGTTGGTTACAAGCATAAATGTCTTTTTAAAAATATTCAGTGCTGTTCTGTGGTTTTCAAATTATTTTCAGTTCTGTTACTAGTCACCCTTTTTATAATCTTATTCCTTTTTCTCTCTTTGCAGACAAATGGTTGCTCGTGGCTTACTGGACACCCTGAGAACGGTCTGCGACAATGAAGATGATCGGGAAGCCGGGTTAGAAGCTATGAGTCACTTATCGGAAGATATCGGTTAGTATGCATCTATGCATTCATTACTAGACCATGAAATGGGAATTGGATGTTAGGACATATGACTAAAGAAAATCTATAATCGGGCGGAAGAAGAAAGGATGACTTATGAAATGACTTATCATGATGTAATATTCACTGTCAGGACAACTATTTTCAGCTTGAGGAAATAGTACATTATGAAAACATTTACATTGAAACTTCGGTATAAAGCGCTCTGATATAATGTAACAAGGTGATTTTGCTGGTCCCAGCTCTTTATATTCTTTTGTTTTAATACCCTGATATAACAAGGCAATTCCCTTGGTCCCAAGGACCTCGTTATAATGAGTTTCCACTGTACATAGATGCAGTAAACTATCAGTTTTAAGAATTTTGGGCAAAAAAGTAACTTGGAGAAACACATGGAGTTGATGAACACTTCTATTGTGCTACACTGCAGAATAAAATATGTAATGAACAATCAAATGGAGTACAATTAGAGACATTCATTTTTATTGGAACTTCCTATATCGATTAGTCGCACAGATGAATACACTCAGAAGTTTCAGTAGATGCTTCTACCTTTAAGAAAGGACATTTAATCATGTCTAGTGCTTTTTGTTCATGCTGTGTAGGACTAAGATGTTAATCATTATTGATAGTAAGTGTTACAGTACACTTCACATTTACAAACAGGAAGTATGCTCCTTTGCTTGCCGTTTGATTTGTTGAACAATATCTTAAAACTCCTGCTGAGAGGGATCGAATGTCGAAGATTAGTGCTTTTGAACTGGTAATGGTAGCCTGATGACTGTAGATATGCAGGTAGTTCTTGTTGGTTAAGATGGTGGTTATATGCTGACTTGGCTTTCAGTCTAGTTTACATGAACAAACCCTTGTCAGTTGTATGTGTAGCAGAAAAATGTCTCAATGGTAAGACTGGAGACTTTCTGTACACTCATCTCCATAAACCCTCTACTATGGCTGCTCCTATCATATCAAGACATTGATAAAGTTAGACTCAAGGCGCTATGAAATTTTGTTTTATGTATCCACAAGATTCTTTGGCTGACGACCACTTGTGAGCCCTTCTCTCTAATCACTGTCCCTAAAACATATGTTAATTATATGATTATGCTCTGCGTGTATTAAAAAAAACCAGGCAATCATTATAAGGATCAAGTGTAGACAATACATACTACCGTAACTAGGTTTATGTTCTTTTTTTCTTTGGTACTTTGTGAAATTTGAAACCATATTGGAAATGGAGTACTAGTCGATTTCCCCTGTTAGACATTAATAGAGCTATTGATCCCTTTATTAGAGGAAGGTTCAAATGAACGGTGTTTACGGTTCTTACTATTCCTAGTTAAAAAAAAAAAACATTAAAGAGGAAGGGAGATATCATATTAAAAGATTAAACCTTTCCTTTCTTGTAATGCTAGTTGTTAATTCTTAAAGCACTTCCTTAGGCACCATCTGCAGATGGAGAACATCCCTTAAAATACTTGAAGATGCGAACGGGTTGAAACCTTTTGCTTGTTGATGGTGAGAATGCATTAACTTAACCTACCCATCCTCCTTCCCTCTCATGAATATTCCCGCAGAGCCGATGGTGCGAGCAGAACTGATGGAGCAGATACCGCACATCGCGATGCTGTGCCACGAGCACCAGCATCTCTTCCCATCCACCATCCAGGACTACATCCTACCCACGGTGGTGCGCTACCTCACCGATACAAACAACCAGGTATGTAGTCATCATCGTCATCATTGTGGTGGAGGAGGACCCTGGAGGAGTTGTCATAGTTACCACCCAACCACCTCCCCTCCCCACCCCACCCTCTCAAACATATGTTATATTCTAGCTTCCTTCTCCCCAGCCACTATGTTGTCACTATCTATGTTAAGTTGTCATAGATGCTGCTTGCCAGTCCACACCCCTCCCTTGAACTGTGCACTTTCCACTTTCCCTTCCCATATAATACATTCTTACATTTTATGTTGTATTCCTAGTCAGGTTACATTCCTGCTAAATTTGATGCGCTATTTTCTTCTGCCCTATTCTGAGAGAAATTTGTATTTTCTCCAGAGCTCTTTTTGAGCAAAATCTCTCTCTCCTTTCCCTTTGTATATTTTTCTTCAGTAATTGCTTCAGCAATTCATAGAATTTAGATTGTGTCTGGTGATCAGTTCAAGCCTTTACTCTCCGTCCATTCTAGAGATACTAGAGAAATGGCTACAACCAGACAGGTTAAAATGTTGAACTTTTATGAAGTCAATGAACTTCTCTCTCTCTCTCTCTCAAGCCAACTTTTGATATTGCGGAAAAGTGATATGCAGTCACTAATCTATCTACCTGCCAATAAAAAAAGAATCATCTCTCTTCTTTGAATGCTACATCTTCTGATTAGTTCTTCCAAGTGTTTTTCCATCATCCCCTATAAAGATATGTTATTGTTTTGTCTACATGTCACATGCTGTGTTGATAAGATATGCTTTATGAATGTTGTCTAAAACCTTGTCATGTTGATAAACAGATGCATAAATCAAATTCATGTTTTATCAGTCATGTTGTACATGCATGAGCTCATTAGCCGAGGGGAAATCCCTTCTGACGCCCCCCCCCCCCCCCCATTGTAATGGGATACCCTTTTAATGTTCTGTTCTGTTCTGTTTTTTTTTCTTATTTTGTATAATTTGATTCATCATGTGAACCAGTGAAAAGAAAGTAACACCAGAGCAATGAACCATTTAGCACCACAAAGCTCTTCAACAGCTTTGGATATCAACTAAATTATTCATACTAGACCCTTACCAAGTTTTGTAATTTTGAAAGTATTTGAGTAATTGATATGTCCTGATTTATGTTTCTTGAGCATGTGACATATTAAACCTTCTTTCTAAAAGTATTAAACAAAGGCCTGATTCAACCGATTCGCATAAAAAATTCATGAAATTTACAAGGGGTATGAGTAATTCCTTTGTTAACTAGATTGAAATTGCTGTATTGAAATCCCTCTTTCCTATCAAAAAAACTTTTTGAGTCAACTATCTCATTTCTTCTGATCAATATGATTCTGAATTTGACACGAGTTTTAGAAACTATGTTACATCTTTATTTGTGATATAATCACATCTTCATCGCTGAGAATATTAGAATTATTTGTCGGCGTAAAGAAAGCAATCTCTTGTTTCAAGAAATCCAAACATGACCTCACCCTTAGCCCTTCCCCAGCATGTGGCTGGTTACACCTGTCACAAGTTAAATCGGCCTCATTCCGTGCTAATAAAACTAGTTGCATCCTAGATGGTGCAGCACTATTGCAGAGTTAGGGAGAAAGATGTAAGGGGAAGGGGAAATCAGACTGAATGTATATCAAATATGTATATCTGAAATTCAAGATTAATGGCACATAGCATTTTAAAAAATTGTTATTTTGGGAGGAAGGAAATTTCATATATTTATATTAAAGACCATCAATACTACTGGGCCAGAAGGGATTAGACCACCCAGCGAGGTCACTGACTGTTGGCTATCTCATTAACTCGGCTCTCAACTAACATAAGAAAAAGAGGATCATGGGGGATCAACGGCACCGATTGGGGAAGTTTTCTATATAGAGGGAGCAAGTAGCTACAAGTAGGACAGTGGGGCTTTAAAAGAATAAGAAAGCAACTTCCTTCATGTTTAACCTAAAGGTTACCTGATTTTCGTAGTCGACTTCAAATGCTTTATAAAAAGCACAGAAAACTCTGAACTCTTCTGTTTCCACAGAATACAGAGTGTACATAAAAGTGAAGACTGAAGCTGACACGCTCAGTTCAATGGATGTAGATGATATAAGTGTCATTAAAGTTGAACATAATGCATTTGTTATATCAGTTTGATGCAGATTGCTATTTCTCCATCCAGCTTCATAATTAACATGATTTTTATGCCAGACAAAGCAAAACTAAAGAAAAAAATAGCTGTCACTGACGTCACATTTGAGTTGTTTTCAAGCGTAATGCTTAATGTGTGGAGCAGATGTGACGAAAGTATGGCATTAACACATGCATTAATATTGGATATTGCCTTTTGAGGACGTGGGTGTTTAAATAACGACATGAATAGCAAAACATGAGTCTCCCTGCAACGAGTGGGGAAATATTCCATGATATATTCCTACAGTAGGTTTAATATGGTAAATATTCCTGCAGTGCAGCTCGAAAGTGCGTCATAAAGCAGGACTATACTCCACTACCCCTGATGGAGGTCCTCTTAAACACTCGCGCTCTAGCAGAACATAGGGGCTGTCCGCCATGATGGATAAACAGGATTTACTCCAAGGAATGATCAAAAAGAATGACTCAATTTAGCCCGCGGCCAATTTCGGCGGTTGGAGAATGTCTGAGGAGATTAATTCTCCCTTCTCGGGAGGCTCTCTCAATATCTTTCTACCAGAGATGCAGTGAATATGCTTGCGATGCATCTCATTAACTTTTTGAACCCCCTTTACTTTTGAAAATGGCGCTGGCTGTCTGGCAGAGCGATCAGGCCTTGAATTAAGATGGATTCTTGCGTTTGATAGAAGCTCCTTGTTGTGCGTTGGAGTGTGTGTAGCCTTCAAGATTGTGTTCATCTATCCGTGTAGAAATATTGCTCCCGCTTGAGATTTTACTCGTTCAATGCCTATGAGCAAATGGAAGATTCAAAGGCATTTGCTCCTCATACAATAGTATAGTTTCATGATTATTTTTTTTGTACATAAACTAGGCATAAATTTTTATTTCTAAGACAATAATATTGCTCTCTCTCTTTTTTTTAATATTTTTAATACACATTTTTGATGAGAATAATAAGTTAATCTGAGATAGATAATGTGCATCTATTATACTTTCAAATATATCATCCAATTTAAAGAAATGAAGTTGGATGTGCTATGATTGTAGTATGTATTGTGTGCAATATTGTGCATAGCTTGAATTTCAGCTTATAAAATATGTTGCTCAATGTTTCTCTCGATGTTCGTTCTCGCAGGTTCGGAAGACAAGTCAAGCGGCATTGCTAGTCTTACTAGAACAGGAGTTAGTAGGGAGACACGACATGGAAGATCAGGTGTGTCCAGTCATTGTCCAGTTGTCCAGTCAAGACAGTTCAGATGACTACAGAACAGAGGCTGTTGCAGTAAGTCTATTCTTTCATTTTGCCATCCATTTTCTCCTCTCATTCATTTCCAGACATCATCTGTTCCAATAAGATATAAAGATGGTTGTAACCATTAACAAAATGTGTAATTGAATATTTGTGTCTGTGAATTAAAGATAAATATGTGATCAGTCTTTTGTAAATGTTGTTCTGTCAATAATTTGATTGTTGTACTTTTCTGATGATTACAAGCTGTAATGCAGAGCAGTTCACAAGTGTATCATGGTGTTACATGATTAAATTTCTTTATGGTGAATATTTCATCTTGTGTAAACCTTGCACAGCAGAGCACCAACATATGGTGTGTTCTAAATGGTCTATCAAGTTTAACTGAAATTTAGGAGTAGTCTTGCAAAGCTCTGTTGTCATTAACATCTTCATCGGCTTTTTGAAATGTAAACTTGCCCTCTGGGAAAATATGTGAGTGTGAGTGTGCGTGTGTATGTGTGTGTGTGCGTGTTTATGGGTGCATGAGTGCGTGCCTGTTTTGTAGTTTTAAGATGATATTATATTTTATATTGCTGCTTTTACTCTGTTAATTTTTCAGAAAAAACAATAAAAACAGAAAGAAAAAAAAACAAAAAAAACATATGGTGTGTTCTTCCATACATACAACAAAATGTCATTTACGATTCTCGGATTGTAACCTGGGATAGTGTTAGAATTGATTCAGATTCTTTGCAAGTCCTCCCATAAATTACTAAGTGACAAACTTCTTTTTAATACAGAGTTACGATTAAAGGTAAAGACCAGTTTTGGAAACGCCCCCCTCTCAAAAGATGAAATGGAAGTCTTATTACCAATCATGTGAAAGAATATGTTTTGACTAATATGTGATAAAACAAATTTTGTCGGGAAACCGCCTACTAATTGATATATTTGGTAAATTATTATATCTATTTGGACCTAATAGATATCGAGCATGTGTCACGTAGTCCCATATACTTCTTTCTGTGTACAGTGCTTGTAACTACCAAGACTGGGCCAAATTTCTTATCATTTTGATGATTCCAGAACCTTGCAGTACACACAATGTTTCTTTCATAATGCTATCGCATGACCAGTACTGATCTTTACCTTTAATATCAAGTTGCAATCCATTTGAATCAATTGTAACTCTTTGCAAAATGGGTGCCAGGACTGTCAATTCAAATTGTCTTATATTTTGACTGAATTGAATATTAAATGTGTCATTAAAACCAAGGTTGTAGTCTTGAAAAACATTTTGAAATCCATACAGATCAATTTAGACCACTGATTATTTGCTTTAGAAAAAAAAAAAGTATTTATCAAATTTGAATTATCATCGTCCCCTGTGACCTCAAGAGTTCGGCTACTCCTTACCCACCCCGCCCCAAAGTTGTTAATGATATGCATCATTGTATCCTGGCCTGGTATTGGAATGTTTGAGAAGTGATTGCGATATCAAGGGAGGTGGGCTGCTCTTATTAGCGATAGTCTGCAAAAACAAACCCTTGTTGTTCATCATATGTAACCGAGTGTCTGATTCAGCGAGTTGTAAGACTACGAAGGCTGCACTGTCTACTGCGCTACATAGGCGTTGTACAATAGTTGCTACTGACACTGCCAGAGACTGACAAGAGTTGGGCTTGGCTCCTGGCTTTGTGGAACAGTGTTTAAAGAGAAGGTTGAGTTCTGGAGAGAGGTGAAAAATAATTTGTGAGCGTTATCTTTGCTTTTATGCAAGTGTGGAAGAACATCAGAGTAAAAATGTCCCCTGAAAAGCATGGCTCTTCGAATGCCTTCATATTCAAAATATAACAAGTAACAGCTTAAAAATAAGGCCTGATTTTTATGCCACATGTTTGGGTAGTTCCATATACATCTTTGTGTGTACAGTGACAAGACTGTATGTGCCTATTTTCTTATCAATTCGATGATTCAAGTGTTGTACACACCAATTCTTTTGATCAACCTTTTCTGATCGATTCCAAAACATTTCTTTCTAAAGCAATCGCAAAACCAGAACTCAACTTAATCTTTAAGTGTAATATAGAGTCTATGTGTGCAGACTAGTGTAGTTTATCAGCTCCAGCGTGGCAGTGCCAAAGTGCACTCCCATCAATTTCAATGTGTGGGAATCAGATGTGTGAGATAGCTGACCTACTCACACTAGAGAAAATTATATATAAGTCGTATAAAGAAGCGTCATGTTAAGAATTGAATGTGAAAGGGGCATATACACTGGATTAAAACATAGATTAGGGAAATATTGCATAAAGAAAAGAAACAAATTTAGAAGAAATCAGATGACATGGCTTCCAGCCAACTGTGGTGAAGGCTCACAAGCCCTGACCTATAAAGTTTTCACCATGCTCAGACGATAATGGGACCCTCATTTAAGTGCAAAAGGATGCTCAAACCTACATTTCGCTATATGACGTTTCATTAAATACGACGCAGGATTAAAAACGTTCTTTTATGAACTCTACACTGTTTTTAAGTGAATTTTGGTATAGTCTGAAGTGGGTTAGAGGAGAGAGATAGAGAGCCAGGAGGTCAGGCAGTCAAATCAGTATGCTGTCTGATGTTTTCTATTACAGTCTCAACAAACGTTGTTATTCTAGGATATTATGTGACCGGAGGAAGATGGGGGCGCTTTGCTCATTGCTGGATGCGAGTTATGCATTCGTCAGGGAACATGATTGTTTCCAAATGTCTGAAGGAAACGTTTTTTTATTGAACTTGAAGATATGTTGTTACTTGGGAGTTTCGATGACAGATGTGCTTGATCTGCATCCACATCAACAAGTACAACCCAAATTTGGCACGATGTTTAACTGACAAACTTTTTTGCTTTAAAGAGGAGGAAAATTGGACGAAATTCATCCTACAATTATTTATTTTTTTGACTTTAATTCATAATTTGGAAGGTTATGTTTCAATGTAGGAAACTCATGAAAACAAAGTCTGAAATTTCTAAATGTGGGTTAATATTTTACAAGTCTGTGATTTGACATTTTAAAAATGGAATGGAAGTATCCAGTGTCCAATTTTATCTTTTCAAATGGATGATAAGAAAATATATCTTCTTTTCACATCATAAATATAGCTTTTTAGAACATGCAGTGACTTTGAATATGATAGAGGATCTTAAATTATTTTTTTTTCTTCTTAATTTGAGGCATAAAGCATTTCAGAAATGAATTTTTATAAACATGCATGAAGCCCTTCCTTCTAGTTTTATTTTTGCCTTCGGTTCAGTATATATTTCTTTTTTTTTATTAATTCTATGAAATATGTCGCCTTGAGACATTGTAAATCAAGTCATTAATTCTCTCTTGAATATATTTTTTATTCAATTTATCTTATGGATGATTGAGCTCAGGCGGCGATGTTTTAAGGCTTCTTGCAGATGTGTGCGCATGAGCATATCATTGGAGTCCTGATTTTATAGAAGATGGCCTTTGAATACAACAAAAGATAAGAAAAATCTTGCATAAAAAAATGAATTATTCACACACCAAACATCTGTGTGTGGTGTGTGTATGTATTGGAGACACATAACTCTCACTTGGTAGCCTCCTAGTCTGCACAGCTGATATGCATGCACCCAAGCAATCTTTCCCGCTCAAACTTGCATGCTGCACACGAAAACACACTTTCACTTTATAACACACACAAGCATACAGTACAGGGGCAAGAGCACACTTATCACATAGGACCCTCACACAGTACACACACATATGCACACAAAGGCATTGCAGCCTAGCCATAAGGAGAGATGCATGCACAGTACAGATGTGGAGATGTGCTCACTGTTACCACTTTCTCATTTTCACATGGAGGACAAGGAGGCGAATATGACCATTCTCCAGTATTTTAGTGGATGAGAACTGAGAAATTGAGGTCACATTACTGGATGGGAGTGTATGTTCGTGAGATCAAGGAGAGGACATTGCATTCCGATAGTCTACTCATAAAATGAGCTGCTGCTAGCTGCCTTGCTTTGTTTGAACAGTGCAGTGCTTTCACTGGAAATGACTTCTTCTGCATTTCTTGCACCTAATGAGGATGCTACTGGAACTAGTCTGGAACATTGCCTTGCATTTAAGTGTTTCATTTGGATCACCTGTTTTTTCATTCTGAAGAATTGGTGTGACATCAAAATGCACGAGTCCTAAAATGGGGGAAGATAGACTTGCACTTCTGATGTGAATAGTTATCATGTGCTATTTTTATCTTGGATTGAACTGGAAGAAAAAGGAACCACTGTGACTGATCAAGATTTATGGAAAGGATCTTGTATACTTATAAAGTCACCTAAAGCGGTGCAACACAATCTCATTGTAGACAGCCATTACAATTACATCAAGCTGATATTTACAGGCTGTGTTCTTCAAACAAGCCACTAGATCTACTGCATAGGCCTCCACGTCCATCCACTCTCACAGTGCCATAATCCTGCATAATGCCGGCTACACCAGCAGATGCCAGAAAAAAAAAAGGCATCTCCACAATTTTGTTGGATTGGAACCTTCGTGCCTGCGATACTTCATTTCATGATTACAATTCACAGAATCGGTGTTCCCTGAGTGAAAGACATGGGTAGTGAGATTTGACTATCACAAAACAATCTCACTATTCTGTTTTTCCCCTGGTGGATACTTATTACATCTACTACCTGCCTGAGCGTCGCGTCGTCTTGCTCCAAGCCACGAAGATTCAATTATGAAAATTGGAGTAGAAGTTTGCAATGTAAGCATTGTTCTGTAGCCTTACTCCTTTAATCATGATATATTCAGCATTGTTTTTCTAGTTGGGGAAAATAAATGCAGTCTATGCTTGTGAGATGATTGTTAATTTGAAAAGAAAACAGTTATTTTCGCTCTCTTTGTCATACTCATCTTTTTTAATTAAAATTTATGAAATCATGATCGGTTAGTGGTCACAGGTCTCAGTAATGTTTGTAAACCTTTCATTTTATGTTCTATTGTATTGACTCCTATTTTAATTGCAACATCAACTTCTACTAAGCCTGCTGTCCTTTTCCTTTGTAAGAAAATGGCAGCTTCACTTATATTTCTTTCATGCATGTTCGTAGTCTTATTATCGATGCATTTCTGTCAAGATCTAAAAAAACAAATAGGTATCCCCATGTCTGTCTACAGCATTCATGTTGCCCTCCAGAAGGAGAGGGAGACGTGTAGTTGCGTTCATTGAGCAGTTAATAATGCTGGTCTAAGTACCACAGAGCTTATTCTGCCAATATTATCCATAATTAAGGCCTCCCCAAAGACCGACATACAGCACCCATCGATGACAGATGCCTCTGATCGGCCTCTGCCCATATGCCCTTTTCATTTTGGTGTGCAATCCAATGAACAGCTTTCTACGATGAACGACTTGAATTTATTCAGGAGCTTGCATCGGAGCTCGCTCAAACTCGAATTCAAATTTCTCATTAAAGCTGAAAGATAGGAAGCCTTGTTAATGCTTGGCAAGACTGTTTGTTGAAAGGAGACTATTTTGATAGTTACTCTCACTCGACGAAGCTCATTGTATCTTTTGATACAGTGTAAACTCTATATTTGTTGCAGTTTCTTCACTTTACAAGTAACTAATTCTAGTATGAGACTTGTGAAGGAGAATGCTTTCACTAGATTTAAGACTTGGTGCTTAAAAAATTTGTTACTATCATTTAGTGGCCTAAAGATATTTCAATATAAATAATTAACCCAAATCTTTTTTTCTGCTCTCTACCCAAATCCTTTTCTCATTTTCATATTCATATTCATCTCTCTCTCTCTGTCTTCATCTTTTTTTCCTTCTGTATCCTTCCCATTTCTTTGTTTTATAGCTGATGAGCAAAGTTGCACCTCTCGTTGGCAAAGACATAACAGAGAATTACTTTCTACCCCAGTTTACTGAATTGTGCAAAGACAGTTTATTTCATATACGAAAGGTGAGTTATAATTATCTGCAGTTAGTATACTCTACTCACAACAACATGGCAGACACCAGATCGACAATAGATCGACCCTTCCCCCCCCCCCCCCCTCAATAAAAAGATTATTAAACCTAATCGCTCAGAATCAGTTGGGCTTGGAATTAAGTGTAGTTTATCAGTGTGACTGAGGTTTCATTGCTTTGTAGTTTTGTTTGAAAGGATTAAATTTGCTTTCTAAAGTACCATTTTCTATTGGAGAGAGTTATCCTATTTATTTCCTAATATTACTAAAGCAAAATGTGTATTCAAAATGCATTTACCTTTAAGAATTCCCAACCCTATCATGAATGAAAGTGAAATAGAATCCGCTGCATAGCGAAGCTTTTTTTCTTACCACTTATCATCCATAAAAATGTCAGATATGTTCATTATATCCAGTACCCATTTCTGCTTCTCAAGCACATGTGCCATTAAATAGCTCAGGAAAAAGGATGTGAAACTCCTTTCATCATCTCACACTATTGATCAGCAACCACTTTCACACACTTCAAATTTTAGTTTATACTTCCTCCTATATTGTTTTCTTTCGAGATGTATTATTGAAACAAGCCCATGTTTCCATGAGGAAATGTTTTTGCTAGGTATAATTTGACCATATCCTTTTTCTCCTTGATATTGTCATAGCAAAATGTCTGCATGAAACTGGTTTAATAGTAAGAGCTGTGAGATTAGTTTCATGTGGGTTAAATGCTGAAGTTGAAGTTTGTAATAAGCTTCCTCTATGAAAGTACTTGGCAGAGGCATTGATTTATGTAATTCCTGCTTGGCCTACCCCATTGATACATTTCTCAAATTAATTCTGGTAGGATGTATGATTCTTTGATATTTTTAGAAGACAGAAAATGCCGCCTTATTTTTTCAAAGTCATTTATATTGATTTGGAATTGTTTTGTTCTTTGAAAGGTCTGTGCTGCAAACTTTGGTGACATTTGCAGTGTTGTTGGAGAGGAAGCAACTGAGAAACTTTTGGTAAGAATTTGCATTAAATTTGTAAAACACGAGTCGAAGTAGGGCTAAAATGTATAAAAATCTCCCCAAAATCATTATGAAATGGCAAATGTTACCAGTTCTTAAGAAAAGGCACATCCTGTGCAATATTATTTGTTGTCAGTGCCATACAAATTACTGAAATTGATCTTCTGTAAGAAAAAATTTGTCAGTCTTTTAAAAAAAAAAAAATTCTTCCTAAGACAAATTTCACGATCAATTGCTCTATTCCAAATTGAAGCTTTAAAATTCTGCTTGGAGTGACATTTTGGTTTGATACCAGTTTATCTTGCCTTCATATCAGTTTGGTGTCCATTAGTGAGATTGACCATGACCACTGAGAAGGTAACCTGACCCCTTGTGGTCATTCCAGTAAGGTCCAGTCAAGAACATATTGGACTGTCATATGCATAAAACAAACATACCAGAGTTTTCATTACTGATTGAAAACGTGGCTCCCTTGGGCAGGCATGCAAGGTTGGCATTCCACAAAATGCAGCATTTAACAAATGAAAAATAATAGCAAGGGGTCATTACCCTGTGTAAGGTCGGGACAGACACTGGTGTCACCGGTGCCAGGTTGAAAAAACTATGATCTGATTTCTTTGCCTTCCTTTTACAAGAAAACTGGGTATTTCCAAACTTGAACAGATTGACATAGATTTTGATGAAGACAGCAAAAATGTTTTTGTTTCATTGCTAGATTGATCTTGAGATAGCTACAAATTATCAGACTTGATTTCATTTTCACAAAAAGAATCAACTAAAAGCTTGAGCTGTTGTATAGTGATATAAAACATGCAACTGCTACTGACCATGCATCTCCCTCCCCAACAAAATAAAGTAGTAAATATTAAAACAATGATAACTTTTTTTTTTTTTTAATAAATGTTAGTAACCATCATACTATTTTTCTTTATTTATAAGCTTGTATTTTCTGTCCAAGAGCTTTTTTTCCCCCACTCTACATTCTCAGTCTTTTCGCTTGCTTTAATTTTTCCTCTTATCTTTACACCCCCCCCCCCTTCTACCTCATTGTCACCATTCAATGTTCCTAGTCATTCCTAGAACCAACTGCATATTTGTGACCCCACTGTTTCCCCTTGAAATTAGAATGAACACACATGGTTCAAATGGCAGTGAAATGAATTACTTGTGTCTCTGTGTTATTTTAAGAAATTGGTTTAGCCCCCAAGCAATGATATGCAAACATATTGTTAGGGCTCCTAGAGGCATCCAAGGTCTTGTTTTGAGTTTCATTCATTCATTTTAAAAGTCTATTCCTTTAAGTCAGTCATGCAGAATTCTATTAATAAATCATTGAAAAGACAAATGTTTGTTTATCTTTTTGGTTACTTTAAATAAATTTTTAAAGTAAAAACATGATATGGGCTCGTATAGCTTCTGTTTGACCGCTCCATATTTGAAGATTTAGTTTGTTTCCTGTGCTTTTCTCTCAGTCTTTGTAATTGTAATAAGCTGACCAAGAGTAACATGCACTTTCTTAATTCCGCTGGCAATAATAATGCTGCTTTGGTAGCAGAGAAAAGAGTCATTCATAAAACAAAACTCCCTCATTGTCAATGCTTAGGCTATAATGTGATATAAGGGATATCAATGAAAGTGATTTGTTATCCTTTTTCATCTGTTTGTGTTAAAATAGTATTGCTGAGAACTCTTGCGTGCTATTATGCCTTACATTGATTTTTCACTGGTTTGACTGGTCCTATTGATGGCACATTGAGTGCAGACACATTCACATACACATCACTCCAGTCACTAGTAACTCAAACGAAAGCTGTTATTTTGGTATCTATTGATCGGTGGGTCGTTAGGGTCGTGGTAATTGAATTTGTTAGTTGCACAGGAGCCGATGGTGTAAACCTCGGGAAGGCTGGATAAATTTCAGAAGGGAATTTGATTACGAGCCAGAGAAGTTGGAACATGAGAGAAACAGTAAAGTGATAGGTAGCGCGAGACTGCACATTGCTGGGGTCGAGGTAACGGTGCCTTTTAATTCAAAGACAAGCAATATTACGAAAGTGGCTTGAGATCTACAAAACATCCCAGGTCTCCCCCCCCCCTTGTGTGTGATGTATTATTACAAGGCTTAAAGCACTGTCTGAGAATACTGAATTAGGAGTGAGCGATTCCTATAGAGATTGCTTCCTAAAGGTGTTGTAGCTATTACTTCAAGCTGTTCCTGTCTTGATAAGAAATTAAGTGATGTGCGGTTACCAAGCTTGAAATTTTGTGCAGGGATGCCAAGAACGCTCCCCAAAGTGTAAAGGGCCAACCCTAAGTCACATACGGCCCCCATTAAAATTAACATTTTGCATTTTCATTTCTTCTCTTTCTCATTTACAGTTACCAAGGTTTGAAGCACTGTGCGAGGATGGTGTATGGGGAGTAAGGAAAGCCTGTGCAGAGTGCTTTATGACGGTATCATGGGCCACATCCAAGCCTAAACGAGAGCGGGAACTCTCTAATCTCTTCGTCCATCTGCTGCGGGATCAGTCTAGATGGGTAAGGGCAGTGCTCACACTTACACACACACATACTTTTTTCCCCAGATGATTTTTTATTAGAGTATACTCTGTATCCCCTGTATTTTTCTTCTTCCAGGGCTTGAATCCCCCCTCACACTAAAAAAAAAACTTGATTAAATCACAGGCAAGTCTTGTCACTAACGAGTAGGAAGGCACATGGCCTTCAAAAAAAGAAATCAAAATGACCTCAATACTAGTTTTTCATTCTGAAAGGGCTTTAGGGAAGGGAAAAAGGCTTCTTTGATTTGTTCAAGTCTGTCTAATACCCATTTAAAAACTAAAGTGTGGAGCTTTACATTTTATTCATTACTCTATTTATTGGTCTCAAGTGATGAAATAAGCATTGGACAAAGGAGGACAAATTATCATTTCAATTGTTTTGGACCATTCTGCACATGTAATGAACTTTAAGCTTTTTACGTGTTTTCCAACTTTTCTGTATTTAATGATTGATCCTTAGAGATTATCATTTCATGTTCTCAATTCACATTGATCCTTTTCCATTTCTCCCCCCTCTGAAGGTTCGAATGGCAGCGTTTCAAGCTTTAGGTCCTTTCATCTCGACGTTTGCTGACCCCAGTATATCAGGCATTCACCTCTTGTACAACGCAGACGGAACGGTCCAAGTAGCTGGCGTAGTGCCTATAGACGACGATATCACTAGCAACAAACAGACAAATAACTATCCCAATAATACAGATAATAGACTAGCAGAGCACATGGTTATAGATGAACGCAGCAACAGTAACTCACGCTCGAACAAAGACGGCGCAAGTAACGAACAAAGTACCAGCCGTGACAGAAAGACTTTACACCAGGGGGTTGGGGAATTAAACTTCAAAGTAGGCGATGGGCAACCGCCCGCTAATGATGATAGTCCCGAGTATAGTTCTTTTCTATTCTGGCGACAGCCAGTGCCGGTTCTTGGGACAGGAGGAAAGAAAAAATCAAGTACTGATAAGGAAGAGGAAAAGGCGAAGGAGGAAAAAGCGACAGAGGAAAATAAAGGGGAAACCATCGAGATGGAATCGGTAGAAACATCGTCGCAGGACTCGAAAGACAGTGAGGATGACTCTAGGACTAAAGATGATAGGTTTACAAGTACTACTCAGTTTGCAATGGGAAGCAGCAGCAGCAGCAATACGGGCGCCGCAGAGAAGTCATTGCCCGATTCCGGTATCAGCAGCCCGGAGGCTGTGCATGAGGACAATGACAACCCAGCGTCAGGCGAGGGCGCCGAATCCAAAGAACTGAAGAAAGACATCCAGGACTTGGTGCAGACGATATCGCAGATGAACCTAGAGGGCAACGGGGAAGACGCCGCTTCGTCGTCGCAGAGCAATGACGGGGAGCAGACGGAGGCGGATGGGAACGTGAAGCTTCACACTGCTGATGTCAGTGAGGCCAACGACATCACTGAGATGGTGATGCACCTACCCAGTACACAGACCCTAGAGCAGAGGATCGATGACAAGACACTGTCCTTTGTTAATGGTGTCCTAGAAGAGGAAGAAGAGCTCAATGAATGGGCTGAAGTGGAACCTTCTCTCAACCAGGTTTCACCTAAAGTAAGCATTCTCTCTCTCTCTCTCCCTTTTCCACCTCCCCCCCCCCCCCCATTTTTCTCTTCACCCTCTGAGTAAGCTATGATAAGGTCTATTTGCAAGTAACACAGCTGTCGTAAAATTGTCCTAATGGTCCTATCACTTGTCCATTGGTAGCTACATCAGACTTGGGGGCAAGTTAGGCAAGAGCTTCCCATGTCGAAATTCCAGATCATCCTAAGTTTTATAATGTCATGTATTCTTATGCAATTGAGGAGAGGAAATTGTGACAAAACATTAATTTATACTCACAAGGAAAGTGATAATAATGGAAAATGAATGATTCTGATAGGATAGCAGACAAGGTAAATGAAAGAAATGAAAAGGCTGAAAAACATCTGTCCAAACATAATTGGCCAGACACATCTCCAAACACATTTTCAACCTTGCGGAGAAGCATGACAAGAACATTGCTCGTTAACATGATTAAGAAATGTTGGAGGGTTTCACCCGGCCAATCACTGTTCTATTCATCTGATTGTTAAAAACTTGTTTGTCACATGAGGGATGTGAACGTTTCATGTGAAACATTTATTCTATGAAATTGATGTGACGTAAAATTATTTACACAAAATTGATGGGATTTTTTCATTGATGTACACTGAAAAGTGTTGGGAATTCCCAAAATGAAACAAATTACTACAAGAAAATCATCTGCATTGCACACAGAAATGGGGATAAGGAGCTTCATGTGTGGCATAACAGTTGGTCCGAAATTGTAGCTTCTTCTCGTAACATTTCAGATATGAGGGCTTTCGAAGAGCAGTCCTTTTCAGGGGAAATTTACACCGGGATATTCTTTCAAACTGACATTGAGAAAAATATAGAAAGCTCCCAATATTTCATCTATTTCGAAACTCAAACTTCTCTTCAAATGTCCCTGAATAATAAAGAATATGTGATATCTGCTTCACCCCAGGGGAAAAATACACAGGGGCTCAGGGTGAAGTACCCCCCGAAAGTCATAAAAGAGTCCCCCAAAATTTGCATAAGGGTTCAATACAAAACAAATTAAAGAGTGTTATTTTCATGCAAGCAAACTCGAAAAGTAGCCCCTGTAATTTTTTTAAATATTTTTTTTTCCCTGCTTCACCCAACAGCAAGACGTGATTCCGCACATGCTCCTGGAGAACTACCTGTCGATGACGGACCCCAGGATAGCTCAGGCGGTGGATACAGAGATCGCCAAACATTGTGCCTATAGCCTCCCCGGCGTAGCCCTCACCCTGGGCCGTAAGAACTGGTACTGCCTCAAAGACATCTATGAAACGCTTTCCTCGGACATGCAGGTGAGAAGTTCATTCCGAAATCAAGGAATTTGTAAAACATTTCTAAAAAAATGTTTGATAAATAACATTTCAACCTATTCAAGGACACTGATTTTCAAGGGCTCTATGAAATATCCTTTTTGCTTCTCACTCAATATGAGCATCCCCCCCCCCCCCCAAAAAAAGTATTCACTATGCCTTGCCGATAAAAAGCCATATATATCAAAAGGTCAAGCATAAACCAAAAAATTACCACTTGGAATGGGAAAACTGCAATTTCGAACCTAAATTATGCCCAATTAATAAAAAAAAAGTTCCTTTGGGGATTTCCAACATCAAAGAACACTTCTCTGCTTTTCACATACATGTATGTGGTTCATCCTTTTTAACTATCAGCTAACAAGGTGTACCGCAAAATGTTCACTTTTTTCCTGGTGGGGTGAAGCACGTATCTTTTTATAAACCAATTAGTGATAACATCCAGATTTTAAATTCTTTAGAAATTCTCAGATGACATTCTATCTGTTTATCTTACAATCATAAAAATTAATAGTAAGCCATTATCCATCTTTTCTATGCTGATTAGATTTTGTGCAAATAGAAGGGTTATAAAAGGTCAGTTTAGTGGACTTTGTTGTTTGTATGGACTTGAGCCTTTGGAGTTTGATAGAACCCGATTGCTATCTCAAGATATTTTATCAGAGAAATGCTTGATAGCACATGATTTGAACCAAACTAACTTCCAAAAGACATTGAAAATCATTTTTTATTAGAAACCAACCAAGCTTTAAGAAGAAATCAGCTCCTTCATAAACATGCCTCAAGTATAGATGTTTTACACAAGGTTTGAGAAGAGTTGAAGTAATAAACTTTCACTCCCAAAACACTTGCTCAAGATAGCAATAGAGACACTTTACCAAAGTCAAATGTGAGAAAGCCCACACTTGTATGTATGAAATCTGGGCCCGTCTTACAAAGAGTTGCGATTAATCCAAATCAATCGTAAATCCTTCAATCAATCGCAAGTTTGCAGTTTCCTATCTCTTTTGTACATAGTTGCGATAAGTTGCGATTGATATCAACTCTTTGTGAGACCGGGCTCTGTTAACAAAAAAGTGAGAAGAAATTTGGCCTTCCCCATCCATGAGATGGATCCTTGATCCTGGGCAATGCCATTATGTCCTCGGACTCATTGCTTATCTTTTGAATGACTTTCCACAAGTCCTAAACAGTATCTTCAAGCACTTTGTTGACCATACCCTTCTTTGTTGTCTGTTACACAGTGGAAGGTGAGAAGAACGTTGGCGTTCTCCATCCATGAGATGGCCCTGATCTTGGGAGATTCCATCACATCCTCGGACCTGGTGCCTATCTTCAATGGCTTCCTGCGAGACCTGGACGAGGTCAGGATAGGAGTCCTCAAGCACTTTGCTGATTTTGTCAAGGTGAGTCGACGTAAAGTGTAGAGGTAACGGGAGGTAATAAATGGCAATTAAAAGAGAAGCTTGAGTTCTGGGAATAATTTTTGAGTGTTATCATTGTTATTATGCAATTATGGAAGAACATCAGTTAAAAAATGTTCCCTAAAAAGCATGGTCATGTTCAGTGGTTGTCAGAAAATTTACTTCCACATTATGGGGAGGAAAAATGGTTTCTTGGTCCTTGGACTTCGCTCCGGTGACAATTACGAAGCTGTCTGTATCCTACACCTACAGAAATCCTAAGTTTCACCCTGGACCAACCCCTGTCCCCAACTTGTATCCTATATTTCATATTGAAATTTGAGAACACTTGCATAGAGTTGACGTTTATTTATTTATTTAAGTTAGGTTGTTTTTCCTACTTGCAATTTGATCTCGTTCTCATTTAAATGTTTGATTTGATGCATCCTGTGAGAAACTTGAGTAATAGCACATAATGTCTCTGTTTACACAATATTAAACTGAAAGTTTATTCTTATTCTTCAATCATAACATGACTGAAAAGTGCAGGAAAGGTTTGTAATAACACTTGACTAATGGCACTGTGTTCTTTCTTCAATAATAATAGTTATTGCAACCTGAGCTGAGGAGACAGTACTTAAACCGGATGACAGACTTTCTGACGACGGACAACCAGAGGAATTGGCGCTTCAGGCTAGAGCTCGCAGAGTGAGTATCCTGCTTTTTGTAAAAAAGCAAAGCAGTTTGAAATGTACTGCAGTCATTGTTACATCAATGATCGAGGTTATTTTCTCATTACGCTCAAACCAGAAACTGTTGCGTGTATCAAATAGTGAATTTTGAGAAAGTTTTTGCAAGTCGCCAAAGCTTCTTGCCATAGAAAATGGATTTTCTTAACAATTTGCAGAATTATCAGTGTTGAGTAAGTTTCTGCAGTACGTGGATAAAAAAATGACAGCTGATTAGATTGTTAACTTTGTTAACAAGAAACATCCCAGTACCTTTTATCTGTTTATCCGATGTTTGTAGTTGCCTATGTTATTTTAATGAGTTTTATGGAAATGGATCATAAATGATAATGCTCTTGTATAGTGATATAGATCTTTATTTTTGATTTACGTCACCACATGGAAACTATCCCACCCCATTCTGTGTGACGTGGATGAACATTCAGTAATATACCACCTAAAAAATAGCATCATTTACAATCTCTCATACAAAATATAAAAGAAAGATCTCAAGTATATCCACCAAAAAAATAGCATTATCATTTGCAATCGTTCTCAAAAAAAATGAAAGAAATACCTTCACTCTGCAAATGGTTACTCTTGATAAAATGAGGAAGGCATATAAAGGAACATGTAACATCTTTTCAGACGTTCTTTTCTGCTTCGCCTTTGAAATTCTCTCCCATTTTGATACGTCAGTGACGAATATCTTTTCATTGCTCATTACTATCCATCTCCATTGCAGGCAGCTGATCCTGCTGTGTGATCTGTACGACCCTAGTGACGTGTGTGATAACATCTTACCCATCGCTATGTCGCTAGCTGGTGACAGGGTGGCTGATGTCAGATTCACCTCCTATAAACTGGTAAGTTGTTGAATTAAATTTATTGAACCATATAACATGGAATAGCAAAACGTATGATAAAAAATCAAATACATTGAACATAAAAAATACAAAGCAAATGTATGGTCAGTACCTTAGGACCACAAAAAAGCAAATTGGTTATAAATAGGACCCCCATATGAAACAAATTGAATGAAATATGATTCTAATTCATGCTGTAAAGCTTCTCACTTATGATATTCAAACCATGTATAATGGTTTTAACAATGAGGCTTCTAATTAAGTATTCTGCTCTTCTTTAGCCCTTATCACTTTATGATATAACGTCCATGTGTGCTTGCAAAGAGCTTTGGGAATTATTTCTCTGGTTTTGCCCCTGCAATAACGCTAATTACCCACAATTAATTACCCATTTAGTCATTATTAGATTTTTTAAAAATACATAATTATTTATATAAAAAAAGATATTTGCATTATCCAAATGGCAAGATGACCAATTAGTCTGAATACCTTGCCAGAATGAAGAAATCCTATTCTTATCTCCCTTTTATTATAAATGGAGTGCTTTGGTAAAAAAAATGTATGATCTGAAGGCTACAAAATATTTTATAAGCTGAACAAATAGTTACTATTTTACCCAGCACAATGCTACCATTCCCAATCTCCATTTTCTCTTTGAGGATCACTTTTACCCTATCCCTATGAAGTGGGGGTGCAGCTAATTTGGGCACGTCTCACAGTGGGGGTGTAGCTACTGCATAATACAAGGCTTTAAACACTAAATCTGTTGTCCGCCATGATAATTTTGATGTGATTTCTGATTGCTCTTCATTTCTCTTTTCACCCAATAGTTAAGCGTGATTGCTAAGATCGTCTTATCCTCCAACAACGGTGACCTGAGGCAGACCTTTGTTCAGGAGGTCGTGACTAACTACGCCCAGAGTTCAAGATGGGCTTACAGACAGGCGTAAGTCTTCACCTAGTCTCTCCATTTTGTCTCGCCTTACTTTTATATTACTCGCTGAAAGACACCGTAAAATAGTTTGTGCTATTTTGAATGGTTTCCAAAATGTTATCGTTTCCAGAGTACCACATCTCTTTTCTCCCTTTCTCTCACGCTCTCTTTTTATTGAGCTTTGTGCATTGTGAAGCTATTTGCACTGACGGATCACATACAGTGAAATCCTATTCTCATCGACGAAAACCATATAAAATTATTGGCTACTTGATGTGGTCAGACAATTAAACCAAAATTGTTATAGTACATGATGAATTTGGAACCCATCGATAGTCAACTATTGCTTGAAAGAAACTACAGAAAATTCTATAATGTCTTGATGGTTTTAGACAGTGGGCCAACGAATGTACTCAAGCAACACACTGCTAATATAAAGTCGGACAGATTTATCCGTAAATATAAGGAGATGGCTATGAACCTTATGCGTCCTGACATCTCCCACATAAGACAGCAATAGAAATCCTTGCAAATTGTTTCCTCAACCAATACTACTTTTTATAAATTGAAGAATTTCGTAATTGAATGCGTTCTTATTATACCGAATATCAAAATGAATTTCTCAATAGGAATTCAATCTTTCATCATAGTGATATCTCTTTGTTGTAAACACCTCTGTACGAGGACAAGAAAGAAACAAATTCTCATATCTCCTTGTTGCCAATTGTTCCCCAATCTATACTACACTTGATAAATTTAGAATTATGTAATAAAATGACCAATCATGGAAATGTCTTCTCTGTTAGGACTGTCAAAAAATCTCTCCTCTTCTTGTTGTTGCAGGTTTTGTCATCTGTGTCAGCGCCTCCTCCAGGATCAGGCCGTTGAGCCAAATGTGTTTGCCGTGGAGTTCCTGCCCAGTCTACTACAGCTAGAGGATGATCCTATTCCTAATGTTAGGCTCACGCTGGCTAGAACCGTCACAGAATACATTCTTCTCATTAGTAAGTCCATTCAGATTTTGCACCATAAACAGCCAATTTGATAAGAGAAATCATTCCATTTTTTTTTTGTGGCTGAAATTGACAAAGGGCTGTCTCTTGTTGAAATCGACATGCATAGAGTTGGATGCCTGGAAACTTGATTTTTTAGTGAAATCATACAAACTGAAAAGAAGTCATTTAGAATTTAAAGCTCATTGAGATGATTTACTCTTAAATGGTGTAGAGTTTATTGGATGATAATAACTGGATCATAATTTATTTTTAAATCTCGCTAAATTTTCACTTTTGGTTATCTGAGTTCAGATGCTTGATCCCTTTGTTGGGTTTGAATGCCCTATAGTTGTTGAAATACAAAACAACATCAGTGGGAAACTGAGCGAGCACTTGCCTAATTTTAAAAGAAGACCTCGTGTTAACCATGTAAATATTTACTCCCTCCTGAAAAACGTGTGATGCAAATGGTGTATGAATAAAACTCCATACCAATAATAGAAAAAGTAAAAAAAATTATTTATTTTTTAATGGAGCTAGCCATTTCAATATTTATAAATCCATTTTGAATTTCATTTCTTTTTCTCTTCTGTTTTTCTAGGTTACTTTGATCATATTGAGAATCCGTATCGGGAACATATGTTGGCCTGTCTTAGCCGGTTACGTGGGGACGAGGACCGGGATGTAAGGTTCTACTCCTGCCTGGGACCGTCGGGGGATACTAAGGTCCATTATGCAGAAGGGGTAAGAACTCATTCAACCCCGCCCATACTGCTCCCTCCCAAACATTCTCCTTCTTCCTCCTTTGGAGTTAAAACCTGCAGAGATATCAGCAGTGAGAAAGACTGCATCAGAAACTGTAAAACTTTGACTTGTTCAGAGGTGGTCTCTAACTGACAAATCATATGATCATGTGATGAATGCATAAAGATCAGCCTGAAGTGATTTATACTAGCTTTCATAAATTTCAAGCTTTCTTGGAGGAGAAAGAGTTAATGGGCTCAGAATCAGAGTAACGTCATGCCAGCAGTTAGATTGTCTACGATCTGAATCCTTTTCAGCTTTTATTCTGACCAGAGGGCTAAAATGCACTGATATTCCTGTTAGTACTCTTACAATTATTTACAACCTAAATCGGGAAGATGAATGTTTGTTTAGATTTCTATTCAATTTAAATTTCCATCTACTTGATAATCTGATCGAGGGAAGATTGTATTGTTTGTGGTAGGCTTTAGTGGCCTTATTCTTACAGAATTCAAAACCGTTATGAATCCATTTATGAGGAATCATATCCAGAATGTTGAGATATTACCATTATAAAAATGTCTTACCAAGCCTTCCTTTTCTCTCTCCTCATATTTTCCTTTACAGGAACTTCCGGTATAACGAGAAGTGCGCTTTCTTCCTCACCAGATGGACTTTCTTACATAACTTCCTTCTTCCACATGTGTGCTGCATACGACAACCTCACTCACTCAAAAAACAACACATACCGGTATGCCTTCACGTCCACAACTACTACACATTTTTGTTGGCGTTACAAATTTCTTGAAATTTTCTTTTGACCACCTTATGCAGCAGAGGGATAATTCAATAGGAGCAGATTGACCAGCCCTTTATAAATGAAAATATGTTTTAGTATCGAGTATATTAAAACTGTGGAACATTGCCTCCCTTTTCATGGTGTGTATCATTGTTCTTGTCCGCTGCTTGCGATAAGTTCTTATTTATTTACATTATCTTTATTTTCATTTACTTATATTACCTCACATGCCCATGCTAGCTGGATTTAGGGATTGATTAAAAGAAAGTTGAGTAATTCCTTCATATTTTTACAAAGATTTATGATTCCCCTAACTCGACATATAAAATGCAACGTATAAAAATGAAAAGTGCTAATATGTATAGTCCGTTAGCTTTTAATCTGATGTTTGCATTTTAAAATTATGAGTAAACTAAGCGCAGGGTTATGCCTGCAATGCCTATATGCAGGTAGTATATCGTTTTTTGATACAACAAAATCATCCATTGTTTTCATTCGAATTTATTGTGATAGAGAAGGCAAAATATGTAGAGATACCTCACTTGTATGTTGTGGTGATGGTCACTGATTAGGTCCTGATTTTTAAAAATGGTATTTTGGTTTAACATTTTCATGCCACTTAGGTTGAGCTGTGTGCTCTTAGGAATCACTGTTTTGAATTGGATGTTAGGTTTGGATTATTCACCAATGCTGTTCTGCCCTTTCTTTTTGAGCACTCCTAAAACTGGAAACTTCTGCGTGCTCGAACCTTCGTTGAGATTTGCAAGTTACTGGCCGCGAAATCAGTCTTCGTTAATTTGAGATAGTGTCTGGTTTGTAGTAGCTCACAGGCTCGCTTGAAAGGCCATTGCTTTTGTATTTTTATGTACTAACCCACTCTCTTACTGTATCCTCGATCTACACCAGTCCCACGTTGTCTATTTGGGACTTCCCCTTGTAAATCGTGCTTCTTTCTCATTCATAAGCCTTCTTCTGTGTACTGAATTGGTGAAAGCCTTGATTCATTCATACCAGAGTTTGTGCTTAAGCAAGATAATGCTGTTGCTTCTCTTCTTTCATTATAAGGCTTTTATTCTTGTTGTGAATGAACATAATTGAGAGTAATTTTAAATTGACATGTTTTCTGTATCTCATACAGTGAATTTTTTAAATGTCTATTTTAGGGTACATGTATAATGTCTATTTTTATATTCTTTCCAGTGTATGTACTTTTTTTTTCCTTTATGATCTATTTTTCATCCTACCAAAGTGTATATACGATTGCTATTTTTTATTATTCCTGAGCAAGCCATATGATCATTAAATTCTGAATTCATAAAAAGTGGAATTGATTCAAGAAATTCAATATGGTCCTTATTTACCAATCATGATACATACATGAACCCTGATTATGCTATATGCTTGCTTTGATAATTTTGAACAATTTTCATTTGTTTCTAAGAATATGCAGTTTGCCCGGTTGAATATATTGATATAAGTCCAAATTTATTTTATTCTACCAACCTTGGCTTAAATTTTAATCAACCATACTTGTTGAGTACCCTTTTTTAAAAGCAATATAACACACCCTATTTACTGTGCAAGATTCCTTTTTAAGAAAGTATCTTTTACAATATATGTTGTGTTCGATTGATCGTCGATGCATCTGTACTATCATTGTTTCAATCCTATTTTGTTTTCATTGTTACGATGCTGGTTTTATGTTATGCTTCATCACACACACAATAGATTGAGGAGAATGGAATTTCTGTCTCTTTTTCTCCAGTTTTCAAGCCGGAATATCCATGCTATGTAAGGTGAAAGCATAAAGATCAACCATTATAATTGTTGGCATCCCCTTTAATATATATTATGATTTCTTATACTCCTTCATCATGCAATGTTTTAATTAAAAAGGGGGGACATTTGGATATTCATTAAAGGGTTAGTATGTCTATGCAGTATCAAAGCAAAAACTGTTGGTTTTTTATCACATTTTAATGTTGTGTCAGAAGTCAGTAAGTAACTATCCGTATTAAAGCAACAACAAAAATACGCCTCTGGAGTGCTAATGCATAGTGGCTCATCCAGTAGCAAAAATTTCAATGACGGACAATTAAGATGTACTCTTTCATTCTCTCTGTGTAGCGAGTTACCATGATAACGTTCAACCCTGCTTGTCCCAATACAAGGAACACAATGATCAAAATTTGAACTGTTCAGTACAGACTTTACTACTAAAACTCATTGGTTATTTTGCCTGTGCCTTTTACGGTCAAGTGTGTGTATCAGCGCGAGTCGTGTTTTAATGCTTTTACTACGGTGATATTCGATGACAAATTTATTAGGATTCAATCTGTATGGATTTTACAATGAGTCAGTTTTTAATGCATGATTTATGATGCTCCCAGCTTTTGACTCGACTTGTGTCAGAATCATCAGGTTTTTATTTTTTTATTGTATTATCATCATGCCCACAAGGCTTTGTTGTGAAGAAAAGCTAATTTTTCTAGAATTGTCTTTCATTGTGATGGATTGACTAAGTGAAAATACTTAATAGTACTTGGTATATAAGCAACGTGCTATTGGGAATTTCAGTGTGATGTATTGCAGAAAAATAGTATCTTGTTTTTATTGAGTAGGTTTCATGAAGCAGAATAAAGGGACATATGTATGTATGATATTGAAGACAACAGAAAATGATTAATATATATGCATACTTATAACTATGACTTGTTAAACTGTACTACTAACAACAGAACGCTGTATAGGGTGTATGAAATTGTTTGTTGCTATTATTAACTTTTATAGTCTGGAGAAAATGTGCAAAGAGGGTTGAAAAAATGAGATATATCATGTCGTGTATAGTCCAAAATTAAATTCTGAATTGTATGAAGATGAAAGTTTCAAGTATTTCTGTGTCTCTTTGTTTGTATAGCATTGTAAGAAGACCCATCATGATATTTGCATTTAATGATAATAATGGAGATTAGGGTCATGGATAAATGATGATGATGATAGTGGTGGTTTCAGTAAAAGAAGTTGATGTGGTAGTAGTGGTAGTAGTAGTAGTAGTAGACAGTAGTAGAATGAAAATGAAATTATGACAGTTGTGGTGATGATGATATAATGGCGACAGTGGTTTTGGTAGTGAAAATGATACATTAAGTTGATAATTATGATATGATATGATTATGGTGAGGATTACAACGATGTGATGGTGGCAGTGAATTGAGCATACAAATCAGAAAAATAGAATGGTGAAAAAAATTAGACCAATAATAAAAAGAAAGTTATGAATGTGCGAGATGACTTAATATATGCGAATATCAAATTGATCCCTTGATTATGACATACCAGTAGTCGTGGATAACTCTCTCCCGTTTGTTGTGTACAAAAAGACATGTTTCATTAATTCCTGTTTTTCCCCCAAGTACCTTCTCACTTGGAGCACTACTTATTATAGGTCCTCTAAAAAAAAAAAAAGATCCTCCTTTTTTATACATGTTTGGGGGAGGAATGACAATTCAATCATTTCGTGTGTTGGAACAAATGACAAAGTTGTCAACCACTACAAAGAAACAAACGATTTAGCAACTTTTAAGAGCCCATGCCTAAAGTGAATACGAATGTTAAAAACTCATAACTTTCTCATTTTTGTCTGGTTTCATTCAAACTTCCTCCATTTTGCTCTCTGATATTTTTGCTCTCTTCTAGAGTAGTTTGCTGTCAAGGCTGGATTTCCCTTCAAATCATAATCGACTCGAGGGTAATTTCAAAGCCAATTGCAGTGCCTCCAGAAATGATTACAGATTTTGTATCATGTCATTGCATTTTGCCGTAGGTTGATTTCCCGTGAAAGTCTTTTCAATTTGTGTTTCAATCTGTGACGTATGATTTGTGATGATGTGGTGCTCTGTGATGACCTATTTTTGATGAAAGTTGGTGATCCACATAAGTGATATTGAGAAGAGGAGTTTGTAGATTAGACACAAGTGAGAAATGAGAAGGAGGATGATGATGATGATAATGATGATGACTATGTTGATGATAATGATGATAATGATGATGACTATGTTGATGGTAATGATGATAATGATGATGACTATGTTGATGATAATGATGATGACAGCGGTGGTGATGATGATATTAAAGATGTCGGTTTTGGTAGTGAAGATGTATGGTGACAATTTCAACCATAAGATGGTGATCGGATGTGGTGCCCCTGGGGGGGGGGCAGGGGGTACAGTGCCCCTACACTTGTTCAAGTACCCCCGAACTTTGTAAGAAGTGCCCTTTTTACATAGGAAATTTGCCCCTTCTCCTTTTTCCATTCTCATAAGTGCCCCTTTTCAGGAACGAGAAGTTACCCTTTTCGCTTTTGATAAGTGCCCCCTTCACCTTTGATAATTGCCCTATGAAAAGATGAGAGGTGCCACTTATACTTTGACAAGTGCCCCTTTTCCTAAGTAATTAGTGCTCCTTCCCCTTTTAATAACTACCCCTTTTCAACTCGAAGAAGCGCACCTTTTATTTTCACATGTGCCCCTTTCCCTTTCTAATTAGTGCCTCTTTCCTTATGATAAATGCCCCCATTAAAAAAGAGCCCCTTCCCCTTGTCATAAATGCCCATTTTCACACGTGAAAATTGTCCATTTTCATTCTCGTAAGTGCCCCCTTTACATCCCTGGCAAATTACCCTTTTCACTTCAGATAAGTGCCGCTTCCACCTCCAACAATTGCCCCTATTCAACTCTAAGAAATGCTCGTTTTACTTTGACATATGCCCCTTCCCCTCCTGATTTATAGTGTTCTTTTCCATCTCTGATAAGTGCCCCTTTTCACCTCTAATAACTGCCCTTTTTATTTTGACACGTGCCCCTTTTATGTCGACACGTGCCCCTTTTCCTTTCTAATAAATTTTTTTTCCTTCTTATAAGTGCCTCCCCTTCTCATATTTACTCCTTTCCATCTCTGACAAGTGCCCCGTTTATTTTTAACATGGGCCTCTTTTCTTCTGTTAAATAAAAGCCACTTCCCCCTTCTCATAAAAGATCCATATCACCTCGGTGCCTCTTTTCTTTCAACAGCATATTTTCCTTTATTAAAAGTGCCCCTCTTCATATCTGGTAAGAAATGCCCCATTATCACCTCTGATAATTACGTTTTGCACTTTGACACGTGCTCCTTTTCTTTTATAATAAGTGTCTTATCCCTTTCGACAAGGGTCCCCTTTTCCTCTCATCATTAAACGTGCCCCTAATTTAAAATGACCAAGAGCAATTTCCCCAAAAGAGCGCTCGCATTTATAGATGATATAATTATGTTACTTATCAAAGGTCTTTTCAGTCTCCCGTTACGAGAATGTTATAACCCCATCAGGATTGTTTTTTCCCTCTTTATAAAATGTATTTTTTCGCACTGCGATCTCACAAATCTTAAATGGTGGTGAATCTTTAAACTAGAATCGGCTGATTCAGTGATTCAAAATGTCAAAAAGTCATAACTTTCTAATTAGTTTTGTCCGGTTTCATTCAAATTTTCACTATTCTTTTTCTCTGATATTTTGGTTTATTTCTAGAGTCAGGCGCGCCGGAAGCAGTTTGGGATTTGTTTTTTTTTTGTTTGTTTGTTTGTTTTTTGTTTTTTGTGTGTGTTTTTTTTGTTTTTGTTTGTTTGTTTGTTGTTTTTTTTTTTTTTTTTTTTTGGGGGGGGCAAAATTCCAGGGTACTTACCTTCCAGGGGCAGTGGCGTAATGAGCAAGAACGTTTGGAAGGAGGGGGGGGCGCAGAAGAAAAATCTGCATCATCACCACTCTTACACGTTACATGCAGGTACCGCGGAGATTTTTGAGGTCGCAGTGCGAACAATTACATGTAATAAAGAGGGGAAAAACAATCCCGATGGGGTAATAACATTCTCATAACGGAAGACTGAAAAGACCTTTGATAAGTAACATAAATATATCCTCTATAAATGCGAGCGCCCTTTTGGGGTAATTGCTCTTAATAGTCGCTTTGAATTTGGGGCACGTTTAATGATGAGAGGAAAAGGGGACACTTGTCAAAAGGGATAAGACACTTATTATAAAAGAAAAGGAGCACGTGTCAAAGTGCAAAACGTGATTATCAAAGATGATACTGGGGCATTTCTTACACCTGAAAAAAGGCACTCACCAGATATGAAGAGGGGCACTAATAACACTGAAAATGTCTAGTAGTTTGCTAACAAGGTTGGATTTCCCTTTAAATTATAATGAGATTTTTTTCAATTTTTTTTGTATGTATCACGTGATTGCATTGTTATGATATTTTAACAGATGATGCCAATGATACCCGAGAAAGTCTTTAGAAATTTGTGTTTCAATCTGTGATGTATGATTTGTGATGATGTGGTGCTCTGTGATGACCTATTTTTGATAAAAGTTTGGTGATCTACATTAGTGTTGTTGAGAAGAGGAGTATATTAGACACAAGTGATAACTATTTGATGATGATGATGATGATGATGATGATGATGATGATGATGATGATTACGATAAAGATGATGATGGTGATGATGATTACGATAATGATAATGATGATGATGATTATTATTATTACTATTACGATGATGATGATTATCATTATTTTTATGATAATGATGATGATGATGATGATGATGATGATGTCTGTGGTCGTTTTGATAGAGAAGATGATGAGATGAGCTGATAATTATGATGATGATAAAGTTGAAATGCTTTGATGCCATATGGTGGTGATTATGGTGATAAGATGGTGATGTTGGTGGTAAAGATGATATGAAGATTATGACTAAATTAATGGTGATGATGAAGGTGGCGATGATAATGGTGCCGATGATGATTCAGATGGAATAAAGAATCGTTAATAAAAGTTTTTGTCGATTTTAACAAAATAAATTGATTGTTCATGACTAGTATTTTAGAATCATTTCAGTAGATTCAACCAAACTTTTTCAATGATTCCTGACTGGTGTTCTTAATTTTTCTTGATAATATTTTAGAGGTAATAAAGCTTTGTTAACAACTCCTCAAACCCCCCTACCCTCCAGCACTGTTATGACATTGGTAAAAGATATATTTAGCTTAGGGAAAAGGTTTCAACTGGTAGTTCAGAAAAGGTCCCTAGTTCACCAAGATCTCTTCTCATCTCTGTTTCCATTATCGACTATGTGGCTTTATGTGCTACCTATTTTCCGCTGTCGACGGTGTTCCTATTGTCCATGCAACTCAGTTGTCGAAGTGGTGATGGTGGTTATGGTTGTGGTGAGAGTAGTGGTGGGGATGATGGTAGTCGTATCAGCAGCTATGTCACTGCTGCTGATACGTTTCAGCAGCAGTGACGTAGCTTCAGTCCAATCGTGAGAGGGGTGGGGAGCTGGTCCTTGATAGATGGAAATAAATGACAGTGATTTTAATAGACAAGCCAGTAAGGGGAAGTATACGAGGGGATGATTTAGCTATGCGACGGGGAAGGGGGCAAATTAAGTGTCTCGAAAAAGGGTCTCGATTTCCCCTCTCAAGACCAACTCAATAAAGTTAGGGTGGTGGTATATGGTGGATGATGATGGTGGTGGTGATAATTGTGGCGGTAATAGTGGTAGTAGTAATGGTGGTGGTGCAGTGTGGGGTGGTGGTGGTGATGGTGGCGGCGGTGGTGGTGGTGGTGGGGGTGGTGGTCCAGTAGTGGTGGTGGAGTTAGTGGTGGTGTATCGGAATAGTCGGTGTATTGTTATTTCATTTTTATCATCAAAAGTTATAAGATTAAATTTCAGAATCATACTCCTTTAATATAATTATTTATGCCATGGTTCTGTCATTGCTTTTCGGGATCGTGCATCATCCTCCATCATTAGTCCAACTTATAAAGGTCTTAAACGTTTC